GATCTCGGCTCACCGAAACCTCCGCCTCCTGGGTTCAGGCAATTCTCCTGCCTCAGCCTCCTGAGTAGCTGGGATTACAGGCACGTGCCACCATGCCCAGGTAGTTTTTAGTAGAGACGGGGTTTCACTATGTTGACTAGGATGGTCTCGATCTCTTGACCTCGTGATCCACCCGCCTCGGCCTCCCAAAGTGCTGGGATTACAGGCTTGAGCCACCGCACCCGGCCGTGATTTTGTTTTCAAACCAAGAGTCTATGTGGTTGTTCTGGTACTGCGTCAGCTTTTTAGCCTTTTCTTTTTTAGCAATGCTTTTTACTAGGCCCGATTGGCTAATATAGAAACAACTTTTCTTATCTAATGAGAGACAGAGGTGCATGTTTGGAAATTTTCTGTTAGTAACCGTTATTCCTGCTATGAGGATAATAATTAAGCAAAATGCTATAGTAATTTGAGATGTTCTGTTTGATATTCCACCCTGAGGGTGCTACAGTATCTAGTTCTACTGCAAATAGTAGAGTAAAGCAGTTCCCACAAGGGTGGCATAGTAAATAATTTCCATTAAAAAGTTTTAATATTTGGCTTAAAAGGAGAGGTGGGAATGACAGAAGTATTTGGGGAGGTTAGGGGTGAGACTGAGTAAGATGAGTAGTTCTCACCTAGTTGCTTATCTTTTATGAGTTTCAGCTTAAGATGTGCTTTTTTTTTTTACATTGATATTTAGGATGTTTCTTGACCTGTCACAGGTTTCCTCCTCAGCTTTCCAGGCTTTGACTTGAGTGTGACGTATTTAGGAATTGATTCCTACAACAGATACCATTTTAATTACCGTGGGTTCCATGGACTCACTAGACATGGGGACAAAGATTCCGGGCACCCTCAGTTATTAGTTGTCAGCACCAGCAATAAAGAGATTTCCTCCTGTGATGATCAGGGGGCTTAGAGACAGCACCTGCTGAAACATTTAGTTTTCAGTTTATAGGGCTTTAAGAAAGCACAGCTGCCAGGCGAGGTGGCTCACACCTTATAATCCTTGCACTTTGGGAGGCCAAGGTGGGTGGATCACCAGAGGTCAGGAGTTTCAGACCAGCCTGACCAATATTGAAAAACCCTGTCTCTACTAAAAATACAAAATTAGCCCGGTGTGATGGCCCATTTAATCCCAGCTACTCAGGAGGATGATGTAGGATAGTCCCTTGAACCTGGGAGGTGGAGGTTGCCATGAGCC